TAAATAAGACAAAAGCTTGAAGGTTTCGAACGTTGAATCTGCTTTATTATTACTGCGTCTTCGGAAGAAACCACCATCTTGCTTCGCTGTATCAATTCAGATTTGTACGGTAAAAACAGAGGGCTAAGAGCCGATGTTATTTCTTTTCTAGTACGCTTCTGTGAGTATCCCGTGTTTTCTTGAATGAGTCGAGTGAACCTGCGGATACCACTACCTCCAGTAACAGGTTCCAGAAATCGATGACTCGGTGTGAAAACCTGTATGTTATGTGTATTTTGTTTGTTCCTGGCCTCCCTACTCGCCTGCTATGTTCTCTATTTGTACCAATCTGATAGGAAGAAAAAGAGAGGATATATTAGGTCCAAAATCGCTTCTTAGTATCCCATATATTGAAGCCAGATAACCTCTTGATCTGCGATAAGACAGAGTAAAGAGGTCTAGCTTTTCAAGCCGCTCTTTGTATGGTTAACTCCAGAGTTCTGGAATTGCATGGGTAGCTACTCAGTATACTTTTTCAGGATGTCCAAGTCACATTTCAAACAGGGGCTTGAAGCCTGAGTGCAGTTATCAAGCTCAGTCCTCACGAAGCCGTAGTCTTAGGAGCACCACCCACTGTCACCCCATGACACATGTGGGGCCGAACCACAGGTACAAGCGCTTCCTCTATGCTGCATCTATTTACCTTTGTATCCCTAAGGTGCATGTAGACAAACTTTGCCGCATTGATAGGCTTCAGACACTCTTTAGACCAGCTAATCACAATATTCGAAACCGCCTGAAGTACGCATGCATACGCATATTATATTATTTCTCGCCAGGCTTTTACATCATCAGCGTGTAATGGCATTAAGGACTCAACTATACGTTGAGCTTCCTTTACACACAGTGTAGAAAGTAAAGGACTTAGGACAGAACCTTGCGATACTCCAATAAGTACACGTCTCCAGGTGAAGCACTTTGAATTCACTCTTACTTTCCCCTTACGACCTACCATGAAATCCTTGAGACATTTTAGGAGAAGTCCGGCAATGCCAGGATTTTCCAGTTTAAAAAACAGTCTATTTGTTGGCACCTCATCAAATGATTTGCTGAAGTCCATGTTAACAACTTTCACTGCTTATCCATTGTTCAGAGCATCTATCTATTCCTCTCTTGTTATAAGGAGATTTGTTGCATAAGATAAACCTTTTCTTCAACCGCATATTTTGCTGTTGAAAAAGTTACTGGTTCCCACCCATGTCAATATCGACTTTTCGACAATTCTTCCCAGTATCTTAACTACGACACTGGTAAGGCTGACATCTCTGCGGTTCGATGGAAGTTGTCTTAATTCTGTTTTATGTACCGGAGTGACGACTAATTTCTTTTATTCCGTAGGAAACACACTTTGACGAAGTGACATATTGAACATAGTAGTCAATGGAGCAGTAATATATTGTGCAATTTATTACGAGATTGCAGAATGTAGTTCATCCGGTTCTGTTGACATTTCTGTCTCTAAAGTGCCAACAGCCTTAAGTACATCGACTCTGTCGAAGTCCACAGTAAGCAGACGGTTTGTCGATTTTGTGTTTAAGTCTAGCTGTTCGTCTAAAAGACGTGTAGAAATACGGTCTACCTCGTTATTAGTACTTCTCTAATAATAGACCTAATCCTAAAATTGTAGATTTGTAATGGCATAACTGTTGAGTCTATAAGATCTTACGTGGAAGTCACATCTTCGTCTACACCAGCTCATCGCATCGTAACGATTACCAATACGTGATGGAGAACAAGCTTAAGCCAGAGATAGGACAATATATTTAATATGAATAAGAGGTATAAGATAGCATTCAACAGGGACCACGCCTGCAAGGCCGAACAATCACATCCGATAAACCCGGATTAATTCAACACATTGTTCCCGCCCTCTCCATCGTCGATTTCTTCCTCGCCTTAAGTGTTAACTATCTATTCTTCCAGTTGTCTCGTGTTCAGCTTTGAGGATTGTGTGGTTAGTGCCCAATGCCACTACACTACTCTCCCACCAGAATAAACGTGATTTTGGTTCGATACCAAATCGAATGGGATTATTGCGCGCCGGTGGTTACTAAGAATAATACGAATCACCCAGGTATTGATAAGCTGAAAAATAAATCGAAAATGGGGCAAAAACTGATCGGGAAATACATGCAATAACTTGAGAACATGTTTTTATGCTTAACACGCATAAAATGAAAACCCACATGAACATTACTTATACACCAAGTATAGCGAGATTATAACGAGGAAGAACGATATTTTAACAAGTCACATTAAAATACATAGTAATAACATTTGGTTAATGGCTTCGCGTTAAATATTAAATATCTATTTTCCCAGTCATCCCGTGTTCAGCTTCGAGGATTGTGTGGTTAGGGTCCGATGCCACTACAGAGACTCCTGAGTGAAAAATGTCTCGAACTAGTTAGCCATTGCCTACGCTTTTTCTTGATAATCCTCTATCGTTTAAGATTCACTCTCTTTCACAAATAAGTTGGAGATTCAATGCTGCGTTTTTGTTCTGTAATTCAGGTGCGAGAATATTCTCTTAGTATGGTTGGTTGCAAATTGAGATAACCACATTTCATGTATTTTCTGGGCTTCCCAGACTTCAACTGCACGCTTATTACTTAACGACCTGTAGCGTTCCATCGTACTTGTTGTTTTAAGGCTAATGGCAATGTTCCAACACATATTCTTTTTTTTAATAAACGTCTTATATCTCAGTCTATCCAGGGATTACCACGCTTCCTCATTTTCTTTGGAACTATCCAGAGTATAAAATGTTGGGTCATTTGATTGTATAACCGCTGAAAATGAGTCCATGCCTCTTCTGCTGATGCTCCTAAGTCGATTATGCAGTTTTCAGCCGTGGCCGCTGAGTTGATCACTTTCATGTCTGTCTTTCATATATTAGAATGGGCCAGTGCAATTGTTCGACAGGCCATCTCAGCCATGAACTTGAATAAGATTATCTCATGATCACTTCTCCCGAAGGGTGGGAGTAAAGTCATCTGGTTGATACTATCATCGTGTGTGAAAGATTAGATCCAAGAGAAACGGGGAGCTTTGTAGGTCCTATCTACTGGGATCTCTAATATGCTGGCATAAAGTTAGGACAATTGTGGTTTCTAACAATTTGCAACCACATGATGTTGTTGATGACCCTACTTCTAAGTATATCCAGTTTACGCACGGTGCATTAAAGTCGACTACCATAATGCTTTTGCCTCTATTACACCAAAGGAAGCCATCTACTACACATTCTGGACTGCGGTATACTACATCTGATTCAATATCTCACCGTTTACAATTCAGATTACAACACATCAGTTCAAATATCATTAAATCATGTGCCACTGTCTCGACAGCTCATAAGGCTAAGGTAAATTTCGTGCACAGGAAAACCTCTCCTCCCCTGGTTTTAATCTGTCAGCCCTGCTGGATGAAAAATCAATGTCCACCATTATCTTGAGCTGCACAGCTTTGTTTTGTAGGCTGTGAGCATTTGCATAGCACACCTTCATTTCTGTGAGAAGCTGTCCCTTAACACCTAGAGTGGTTTGAGGATCGTTTTACTCCGAACATTTGCGGTGGGAATAATGTGTTTTGTCACCGTTCAGCAGAAGCGAATGTGACATTTTGGTGGCATGTTCTCAGTATACTTTCTGAATCCACTTTTTGTCTCATTCTATAGAGCTAACAGACGCTAAATCCTGAAACAGCTCCTGAGAGTAGCTTGCTTATTAAAGACTTAATGTGGCTGGGGTCGTGTTCAAAAAAAATTCTGCTCCTGTTCGGAGAATTCTCATAACGTACGAAAAGTAACGGATCTGTCAGGGACGTCCGTCTTAACATGCTGCGGAGTTTTACTTACGATATAGTGTCGGCCGCAGAGTTATAACTCTTCACTTACTTTTCTTTTTCTGAGCGTAAAGGTAAGCCAATTATTTATCACTTCATCGAAACGTGGTTTCGCTTTCCATAACCCCCTAATTCCCAAGTGAAAAAGACGTGTCCGAACCCTATCCGAGTAACAACTCCGTTTTTTGGAAATTTATGTTTTCCAGACGCATTGGATAACTCACAACTCTTTCATAGTCGGGTCGTAAAACGATAGTGTTTTAGTCCAAAATGTCAGTTTATTCATAATTAGTGAAAATGACCGACCACTTTCCTCGTTACCCAGTGCAGCGGTAAATGAATCCCCAAAATAAATAGTTTTGTGAGTCTTTGACACTGATACCGGTCTTACTGGACGCACCTAGCTGAAGGCATTTCTTCGCACATCCGCACCATGTCACGAATGCATACGCCGTGCAACGCAGCCCGTGCAACTAATAGCCAGGCAAGACCAAAAGCTTTCTGACATATTGATAACCCACCAAATATGCCTTCGAACTCTTTCATTTCTGACTTCTGATTTGTTTGGATTGGCATCCTCCTACTAAAAATGTGTTATGCATAAAGATATTGTCAAATTCCGAATTTCTGTGGCGTCTTCGAACTTATAGCATCACAAACATCACTGGGCACCATTTTAGTTCTTACATAAATTCAGTTCCAACGCAAACTATATACGCAACTTTCCAAAGTCAGAGGCATAACATAGCGTAATAGACTGCAGGCATATTTTCCACACCTTATGAGTAATCAAATCCAGGGATTCGCTGTCGGTTAATGTAGTACGAGTGACTTCTTAGAAGTCCCTTAAGCGAAAACCTGACATATTCTCAAGGAATAAGAATACTGAATTTAACTACAATACTACATTTCGTCGTTAACTATACCTCGGCTCCTACCTTGAGACATCGATGCTCACTAACTACTATATACAGATGCCCGTTTAGCGGAAGATTCTTTAAGTCAGCACCTATCTTGACTGGCAAAGATGACGCAAATATCAATTATTATTCTGTTGATTATTAGTATTCACTGGAGCGTAGGATAATCCCAGCCAATTGATTCATTTGTTTTATCGTAGCTACTGAGAGGAAAGTATGAAATTATTGGCTCTCAAGGACGGCATGCGTAATCCGACTTCTGGAGGTTACGGTGTAGGTAGGTAGTCGAAGAGTGGCTAGTATGGTGTGGTTCGACCTTTACAAGAACCATCAACTGGTGGAATTCAGCTTCATTGCGTTATAGTACATCTTCCGTTTGGCATAATCTTCGTTAAAGCTATCTTAACTCATATTACTAGACCTGTCTGTGATGATTCTGCGAAATAACAGACTCACAACATTTTGGTATTAAGGCCACCGAAAATTCGCGAGTTTCTCAGGTCCAGAGTTTTTTTTCAAAACATGATCAGATTTTTTCTAGCATTGGATTTTCTTCCTGAATTTTACCGATCGGTAAACTGAACTGACACATCGAGGTGTCATTCTAAAAGTACAATCTACAACATACCAAAAATAACAAACTGTAATGACTTACCCGCACCAATTTGGAACGAATACGTTAGTGCAACATTAATGAGCATATAACCAAACCGATAAAAGTGGAAATAATTTTTGATCGTTAGTTTAAGAATATCCTAATGGAACATATGACTATATGCATGCAGAACACCACTTTTTCACGTACACTTTTTTACAGTGCTTACGTACTTATTATTTTGTATAGTAAATGTAAGCCCAGTATGCGAAAACAGTTTTATTCTTAAGGGCTTTCCCATGGAGTCACTTGTTTTTGAATTAGTAACATAACACCTGATCGATCAAATTTCCCACAATTCTGGCATTGAATCGCTCGGTAAAAGTGGTAATTATTTAAGCTGGTTTTGGTTTTAGTCCCGTGCAGTGCTTATTAAATTGCTCAGTTGCGGTGATAGCACGTAACTCAACAGTAATTTCACTGCTTTTCTAGGTTTTGTCTCACTGGTATTCCATAAGTTTCTTATCTTGATTGTAACAAAAACAATAGCAACTTACGAAAGCTCACAGTACAAGATGTCCTAATGGTTTTTTTAAAATATGGGCCTAGTAATTTATGTATTTTATTTCTTGGAAGTCACTGGTCTCAATCCCAGTTGCATAAACCGGGGGAAATCCAAATCACAAAGTCCGCTAATTATCGTCAATTTCGTCCACCTGTACTTGTTTACTAATTTGCTGGAAAGTTTAGAGTCCCTGGTAGATCCTATATTTTGCCTATATCCTTTATTCTCTAGGATAGTAATCCTTTTTTCCGTGTTGATTACTCATATACCGAGAGACCTGCCATAACAAAAGTGTGCATTGCTCTATACTTCGACTAAGAAAAAAATTGTCTTGGGAAATGCCTATCCAGTCAAAACGAAGTCTGCAAAAAGTACTACTCATTGAGGTTAGAATCGGAAAAAGTATTAAAATTATTAAATTAAAACGCGTTTCACGAAGCGATCTTCACCGTTTTGATAAACTTAATGCACCTAACTTTCCAGAAAATTATATATCTAATGCTAATGCACACTATTGAGGATCATATCACATATAGACTAAGAAACAAGATATGCTAGTCTTTCCATATGGTATCTCTTGATCCCATCATTCTTGCTGTTAATAACCGAAAGTCGTAACTTGAGAGACTCAATATGTTTATGAAAAATAAAAGCCACTACTATTTGAAACCAAGCTAAGTTTGTCACACAGTTTCTAATGACCGTCCAATTGTGTGCTGTAGTTATCAATGCCCTCGTCCTTACATCTTGTTGATTGAGAAACGCTTCAAAATTTGTGTGAACTTGGTAGTACTGTACCAGCCTGTACTATTAGACCGTTATATTGTTCGCTGGATTGTGGACTTGATACTTTCTTACCAATTTAGAATTGGAGGGTCAACAATTATGAGTAGCTGGATAACAACAGTATTAATTCGCAAGTGATTGAAAGTATGCAATGGTAGCTCACTGGTTAGGGCGTGTGACTTCCATGCATTTAGTCGCAGGTTCGGACTCCGATTTACTGACACCTTCTGGGCTACCGGATAGGATAACTGCTCTTCACATTTAAAGCGTGGTTTGGACCCGAGAACACATTTTTTGTCAATAGTAGTGGTAATAAAGTAAAAGCATAAGCTGCTCTAAGCTTTATCGAGACAGCTGTAGAAAACCTAACAGGTTCATTATAATGTCATTATTGGCTTTCGCTTTAAGATTCCTAACATTCTTGCTCGATGTCTGGCTCTATTATTATTTTTGTGAATTATGGATTACATTTATTTGCAATGCTTGCACATGTAGTATTTCAGTCCGGTGATTTATCAACTTTTTCTACCTCCATCAAATACTACTTCACGTTTAAAACGTAACTTTATGTCTGTTAAAACTCCTTTTCTTTGCAGAAAATTGCGTTTTTTGTCTTCCTTCTGGGAAACAAATGAACGAATCCTTAGCTAATGGGATTATCAAACCTATGATTTGTGGTTTATGCAGGAAAACGTCTTCATATATCTGTCCTCGATGTAGTATTAATTATTGTTCACTGACTTGCTATCGAAATGAAGCACATAAGGACTGCTCTGAATCATTTTACCGAGATTGTTGTATTGAATCACTGCGCTGTACCTTTTCTAAGAAGTCGGAAAGATCACACATGAAAGAAATGTTAAGGCGTGAATCATGTGCTTTATCAGATGACTTCCAGTTAGCAAATGTGAAATTTCAGGTAGACAATGATTATACAGATGATAAGAATGAGAGTATTGAAGATGATTTGCAAACTCGGTAAGCGTTTCTTGTTCTTTTTCATCAATAGTTTAGTTAATTTTAAACATGATTTGTTACATGAAAATATTTTTTTTGTATAAACAGGAAAAAACTTAACATTTCTTGGATTTAATTATATTGAAATTATATGACTTCTGTCATGTTGACAGGTTGTCCTCAAGATCACTAGAAAATTTCTGCCTCCATTTGTGCATCATATAAGAATATGAACATACCTGATTGCAAACAAGATTAGATCACGGACCAAGCGTTTTTGAATCGGGATTACAAATGAGATTAAATGGGTAATTCTGTGATCCAATCAAAACCCAATAGATTGAAGGATTTATCAGTAACATATCATTTGGATTTGATTATTAGATCATTAAATTTGACTGAACATTTAATAATTCTAGAAATTTTGATTGGGATGCCCGATGCGTTTTTATGCAATCGTTAGTAGGATGAATGCTTAAACAACCAAGTTCGTACCAAGTTTTGCGAAAAGAGTAACACCGGATGCAGTATTCACCTGCAATGTGATAATACGATAAATACTTGCGTACACATTGGGGTTTAGATTTGGAAAATACATGCATACAATTGATCCTTCTTGGCATTCGATAATGGGATGAGGGTTTGCTGCGTTTGCGAAATTCCTACTTATGGTCACTCAGTCCACATTTTGTGCATATTTATTTTTATTGAGTGGACAGAAACGGGAGAAATACCATGCCCCATAGTTCCATCAACTAGTGGAAGCCCCTGTAAAGCGACGTGAATTAGAGTCGTGGACATCACACGTTCGATTTGGGCTAGGAAATTTTCGCGGATTATGCTTCATGACATCAATAGTGCGGTCTGAATGAGAGATTTTCATCAATAAGGATTTGGTTGTTCGATCATTTTAGTATCATTCTTAAAATTAATAATATGGCGACATTCAATTGTGTTATCTTTCAACGTAAGATTGGGATCTGACTCGATTCTGCTTAAAATTCTGGTACAAATATCTGTGTGTGACGATTGCACCCCGTGTACAAAGGTAAAATATTTAAATTGTTCATCAGAAAGTGAACGCAACTTAAAACTCCGCATTGCTTATTAACAAATGCTGCATACGAAACGAAATCCTTTTCAGGTCTCCTAACAGTTCAAAGACAATTACATCGCAAATTGAATAAGGGCGTCTGATCAGTAAACATTTTTGTTAGTTTTCGTACAGTAAAATGTAAAGAAAGATCGTTGGGTTTCTTTGGCAAGATAAGGTTCAAACACTTTTCATGTTCAGCTGCTCTAAGCTTACGAATTAGAATTCTCACAGAGAAGTGATCATGATGGGAAAACTTAACTTGGAAGGTGTCTTCATACCTCTTGAACCATGATTCAAATGCGACACCAACACCAGGATCAAAATGAAACTCGCTCATTATGTTGGTCAGTGATTCGGTAGTCGAGCCTCTTAGTTCGGACACACGTACTGAATTTCCTTGAATTGACAACTTCTGTACCATCATTTCGACCATTTTCAAATGTGATGCTTAAAATTCTTTTTGATGATGCTGCAATGTAGATTTAAGCTGATCTTATTAGATCGACATTCTGGAATTTGTTTATTTTTACGTGGGTTTGACAGAAATATGCCGCCAGAAAATGTTGTTTCTGGCGGTGTCCGTAATCTGATACTGATACGCGGTGTTCTACGCATTAACCCCTCCAACTGACTACTTGGGCAAGTAAGGGTATTGGATTACCGAACGAAATCCACAAATACTCTTTCATACATATACCACTCTATTCCTAGGAAATTTATCCAATTAAATGCACTTGTTTTTTGGGTCACTTCTAATGGCCACCGGTTGACCTTCTAATTAGGCTAATTCTGGTTGGCTCTCCATTTCACTATACCCGATATCAGTATTGTTTACTCGTTAATTAGAACTAACCAAAACATTTGCGTATCTGGGTAGTTATATGGATGCTGTTGGTGCCTTAGTAGATGAGATCAATCCAGTAATAACAAACCAGTTGAATTTTTGCCAACCTAGGCCATCTTTCGAACCGTCATGATATCAGCGACGTCTAGAAACTATCAGTGGAGCAGTCCACTTCATGTCCTTTCCGAGTTGGGGATATTCGGAGACTATGCTCGATCAACGTTGTCTCCAGAGGAGTGCTGATATCCCATCGCAACACCATGTTAGATATGTTAAGGTCCTGGAATGTATGTTCGATTGCAGTGACGTCTATTCAGTTGGTGTTATCTTTAAATAACAACTTCGGTAGTTTGGTCATGTTATGAGTGTCATCCTAAATTACCTCAAAATACACTTTGTGTCGACTCTTAGGTCGGTTGAAAAAAAACAGAGGTAATCCCTGTAAGATATGCCGTTGTGATGAGATGGATGTATAATAAGACTGGAATCTGTCAGTTCGTCACGACTTAATGATTAGGCTCTTAGATGTAGCACGACTCAGTGACTTAAAATGTTACCATGTATACTTCAGAATAGAAGCCATTAGGTATCCTGGTGTATTTTCCTATTGTATTATTCATACTAGTGCGATAAATTCTCTTAACTAAAATGTGCTTCTCTCAACTAAATTTTTAGTTATTTATTGGTTATATTACTCTTTCCTCCTCTATTTCTTCACAATGTTATAGCTTCATTTGTGTAGTACATCTTGTATATTCTCTATTAAACCACAGTTTACATGCACCGTAAATAAATAAAGCACAGTTGTTCTATCATACAGGTAAAACAATGACTTAAGTCTCCTTACGAATTGCAATAATATTTATGAAGTACAGGACAAACTACACAGCAATCGCCGCTTGTTCCGTACAGCTATATCCTCCTAGGCTGGTAAAAACTTCAAGACTTATCCAGCTTCACGTAATAATAAGTATAGGCTTTTCAATTCTAAATCTCTTTAGATTATTTGAAAAATTTTCAACAAGTCTAATGCGTGAATTTAATGGAGGGATCAAAGTTACATCCCTCCTAATTTCATTTATTGCGTACATATATTACGTAATATCATTATTGTCATTCAACGTTTTCTTAATAGTAGTTTAATTCTTATGCTTTGAAACTAAAGTTGTTAATCGGAATAAAAACTTCGGAATGTTTTTGCTTCAGTTTAGGTGATTTAAATTTGGAAACCGAAGATGCTGATGTCATCTGGTCATGTTTGACCCTGAAAGAAAAACGAGATTTCAGTAGACTTATTCAGTCAAATGCTATCGTTCATTTCATACCAACATGGACTCCCTGGTGGTTAGAGCAAAAACCAATTATTGAAGAAGTAAATCAACAGAATGTTTCAGTGGACAAATCGCGAACCTTACCTAGCATTCAATCGTTAAGTCAACTTTTACCATCCGGAATATCGCCTCACCCTTCAGTTGGGTATATTTTAGCAGATGTATTATTGGGATATGCTTTTGTTATGAGGTAAGCTAGTAACATCGAATAATCCAATAAAGTTTTATCTAGCTTTAAGTTTCCACTAATTTTGTTGTAAAAATTAATGTTTCCTTGTATTTTATTGGATTTGTGTATGTCTGTTAATTAACTGAATAAACTGTAGACTTGAAACCATAGTTACTGTATGATCCCATAGTACTGTCCAAATGAATGTCAATCAAGCATTCTCAAATGTCTATGCAATGGAATGACATTTCAGAATTAAATAGAGTAAGACAAAAAGCCGGTTGCATTAATGCTTGTTTAGGCTAGAAACAGTTATTTTCATATTATTGTCCTTGGCTAACTATAACTGTAGTAAAACAAAGAAATCTCTCCGTAACAGGTATTTCTGACGTTTCAGAAACTATTCTAGTTATTGTACCTGTACTTACAATTAACAATATAAATACACTTTGATCAAAGTTAGTGATTATTGTGACTCATTGATCTAGTGGATAATGAGCTATCATTTTAAGCGGTTTATTCTAGGTTTGAGTTGAGTGTAAAGATTAACACTGGAATTCAAATATATTCAGGCAAGAAAATCTCAAACAGGAAAAAAAGCGTTCTACTCCTGGCTCGTTTATCAAGAAATAGTTTTTTAAAAGGAATTTTGTGTCCATCTACTGTCTGTGTATAAATCATTTTTCTACTTATTAAAGATTTTATAATGGTGACTACATGGACTTAATCGATGATGCAGGAACTCTTCTGTGTAATATAGTTTTATCATTCACAAAATCTCAGACTACTTCAGTCTCATCACTGAATACTACTACTTCTACTAATAATAATTCATCAGATTATTTAAAGAAAACAAGAATAATTAAAAGACAGAGTGGAAATAATCCAACTCACCAAGTATATAACTGTATAAATGAAATTCTTGCCGCAATTCAATATAAACTTATGGAGCTAAATTTACCTTGTCATCCTTCAATTATGATACTATTGCTTGAAGATCTTAGTCATTTATTAGATAATATTGGATTTTGTAATAAAGCACTGAAAGACGTGAATAAATTGATAGTGAATTTCAGGAAAACTCTACGTGCTGTAAATTCAAATGAAAACTTACGATTAAAAGCAAATGTTGCTCATCATAAAATAGTCTTTCTTCAAGCTTGCCTTGATGATAACAATCAATTGGCTAAACGTTGGCAAACAAATGTTTTACCAAAATTATGGAATCAAATATCTAATGAATTAATCCAACGAATTAATGATATTGAAAACTCAAGTACAGATAGACGTGATGAAAAATCTGCTGGTCCAAATTGGCGCAATATTATTCGAGATGAAAATGTTTACAAAAGTTCTTATTGTCGTACGTTAGTCGAGTCACTTGATACTAATAACTAAATGCTTCATAATTTCTTGAGTACCTGTACATAATATACATATTTTAATATATGCTTATGGCAATAAATCTAACATTTTACCAGCTTAGTGGAAGTTTGCTACTACTCTGATAAAGTGGTTGAGGTTGCCTACCGTGACGACAGAGTTGAGGTTTATTGACAGGATCACGTGTACCATAACTTCCTAGCATACCAGAGATGTAAAAACCTCAGGTTAGTCGTACTACTGACTATTTTAAGGTGTAGGGTATTTCCCAGTGATGACCACCAATAATCCGTTCTCGTAGATGAGAGATTGTGAATTTTGTTTTCCTGAACAGCACTTTACTATTGTCTTACGAAATTACGATGCTGGTAGAAGTTAACTCAACAGAATCGATAGCTTACCGGTTTCGCGTTTGCTAAGTCATAAAGAAACCTTACGTCTAGTCATAGCGATTGATATTATCAATTGGACAGGGAATATCTGCTACTCAATATATATACTAATAGAACTACTAACATTGACAACCGTGAACAACAAACGTGTAAGACTTCACGTTTCTTTTTTTCAGACGGGCTATTCCAAAGCGAAAAGCTAGAACTATACAACTCATCAAAGGTCGATTAGGCGAATAGCTATTCAATACAAATACTTTTACAAGGTAACTAAAAATGAGGCTAGGATACATCGTATTAACAAGTTAGGCAATAAAAGGGGGGTTTTTGAAAGCGTTACATTGAAGTGCGCATAGGAGCAGAAGAAAAACTGTTTCCACAGTTTTAGTGAGGTGTGTGCTACTGACGTCGATGGATATAAGTATGTATTACGAGTCGAAAGTGAAATGCCTGGAGGCAAAAGATCGAAGAGAAAAGGACAGAGAGTGATTGGTTTGGAAACGAAGGTGCAATCAAATCTGAGACAACTGAAATTTTGCAAATGAAGTATTTACTGTATGGTTTCAGAGATTTTACTGAGAGATTCTGTAATTTTCTATTCAAATACGTTTGGTTGCCCTCACTGGTGTTCTCGTTCACTACACTAGTGCTTAAGCAAATTCAAGGAATATTATCAGCAAGTAATCACCGGGTTTCAAACCACAATAAATTACATGAGCCCGTATGAAATAGGATGTTTCTTTACTAAATGGGACATCTAATGTGTGGTAGCGTGTTTCATCTAACAGGTGGTAGTTCTGATAGACTGTGCCTTTTTTAGTAAAATATTTTCTATCAATAGTACAAGAGGGTTGCAGTGAAGAGACGCCTTCCTAAAGTTAATCTACTTATCGATTAAAAGATAATAGGACTGAAAAACTGGTATCAAAAAATGGAGAGTACACAGCAGAACTATGAGAAATCCCAAAAAGTGAATTTAGAACGATTGCACTAAACCACTTATCAGAGAAAAATCTCAGTGAAATAACTAAGTGTATGTCAGAATAGTTGATTGGTCCATGTGTAGAAAGTAGCAGATGTCAATTAAAAACTTTTCTAGTTATGTAGAAATTTCCTACTTGATTGGGTGAGAACAACTTCCATGTACGATACAATACAAAAGCAAGTTGTGTCAGTAAGTATTGGAAATCATTCCAGAAACTGGGAGAATGCTTATTTTAGCATTCAACTTGCGTAAATATTGGGGGTTAGATTCAGATAATACATGCATACAATTAATCCTTCTTGGCATTCGATAATGCGATGAGGGTTTGCTGTGTTTGCGAAATCCCTCCTTATGGCCCGTCAGCCCACATTTTGCAGATTTATGTTTATTGAATGGGAACTAAGCAATACTTGACAATTCAGTTGAACAGTATAGAAGCAAAGTTTTTATTTCTTAAATAAATAAGATGGTGAAAATAACATGGAATTGAAAAATGCGATCCGAATTATATTTATGAAACCTATTTGTATAATAGAATACATAAATTATTCAAGTGGAATAGTTGTGTTTGTTGAAAACTAATTACATATAATATATGGAAGCGGATTTTTCACATAAAACAAATACAGTCAGTGGTACACTGGTATCTTATCTACAAGGAATCAATCGGTTTTTTATGTTAAATGATTCAGTTTGTATTGATCCAATAACGATTACCTAAAGGATGATCTTTAAAATAATATGAACCGTATTCTTCATACATTTGCTTAGTTGTGTAGTAGTCTTCAGCATACGATGAGTTCGCGAAATGACGCGCTCCATGCCATGCGTCCAAATGAGGATTAGCTAGTAAATTGTATTTATAAAACAGTATGAAATATCCACGTAATTCAAATTTCACCAGAGAAAACAGGTTTAAATAAAACGTTTGAATCAAAGTATGTTGATATTACAAAATGTATAAATTTTTTTCAGATGTGGATAGTAATACAGCCTGCTATGTAAATTGAGCATAATCAGTATGATCCTGTATAGGATCTACGTTGCTGATTAGTATCACATATATTATCAATGTATATTTATTAACATTATCCAAAAAAACAGGAAATATTGTAGGAAGCAATTTCCTACAGGTGTAACTCTAAGCTATTCTCTAGACTGTCGAGCACAGAATTTTGGTTTAGTCAGAGTCAGAACAAGTAAGCTGTTTGGCTTGACAAACTTTATCTGTTTCTGAAACATAAATTAATACCGTTAGTATACAAAATAAACAGTACAGTCTATCAACACGGGGAAAAACAAAGACATAAATAACATACCAAACAGTAGCTAGAGGATAGAAAAAATGAGTCAACAAGGCAAATATTGTTTTATAGTGAACATAAAATTGTGATTGGTGAATAAACAAGACGTAGTCATGCAAGGTCAAAAAAAGTTAATGTGGTGGTGGGCGTTTCACTTTGTCATTGCTGAGTTCGTTTATCGATCACACCTTACAAATATCTAGAAACATCAAAAAGTACCTTAAATGTTTCAGGCTAACACATCGATCTAATTAACAGTGCAGTCACGAATCTACTTTAACAATTTTCGATAGAAGAATTAAAAGAGGGCCATATGGTACTAAACTACATTACTCCACAAGGATTTTATACATTTCAAGACACTGACTACTTTCCAAGGAAATATATATAGTATGCAATTTATAGACGTTTCACAAATATTTCAAGAGACCCTGAAAAATATCAAACCTGTTATGGTATATAAATCACACCACGCTCAAGTGCGATGATAATACCACTGCTTCAGTATTTAGAAAATGAATAAAGGAGAGGAAATCTCATCATGTCTTTACATACATAATGACTATAATTCCCCAACTAGCTTGCCAGCTGTTTTGTGGTTTGTTAGCCTCGTAAGCAAATGTCCTAACTCGTTTATCACATAAAACTCATACATTTGTGTATGATAATTAACCTATTCCCGATTGTGTTCTTATTTAACTTTCTGTATTAGGGAATTTTTGGTTGATTTGCCAAAACCTTTTAAACTAAGAGTATTCATATTCGAAGTAATTGTAATAAAAAATAACGGATCGGAAGATGTATCCTGTATTTTGTTAAAGAAACTCAACCTTATTTCAACTTACCAGCTACGATAACTTCAATGTTATCCCATTTTGATCCAACAGGTAATAAAGGCCTGATATCGTATCGAATTCGGTCGACAAGACCAGGTAGAGCAGCAACGCCACCGGTTAGATATATTCTTTGAGGAAAGCTTGGCTCAGATGAATTATCAAGTAAACGTGATGTATCTCGCAGTACAAACTCTAAACAATCGGAGAGACCAGCTTCTGAACTACCCATAAAACTTGGCTGAAATAAAACTTCATGAGATCTAATATGAAACAAGAAAAGAAGACAACGTAAAAAATACCATTTACTAAAAGACGGTTTGGCAGTATTTCAGTCAAATGAGATGGGAGTTATTTAACTGGTTTATATCAATCTACCGAAAACCGGCCTTTCTTAGATGTCTATTATGTTTCTAATGTGATATACTGCCTAAAATTCTGTGCAGTGGTAGTGCGCCTTTAACAGTATTATTGAATGTTGAGACAACATTTATTGACATCTCATGGAACTTGTCATATAGTTGTAGCTTCTAAGATTCTGCCACTAGGACACAATGATCTTATGGATAGCAGACCACCTATTGTTTTATTTTCATACACCAAGATCAAATAATGATAAATGACACGAACAATAATAAAAAAATAAAAAGGAGGAAACAAGACTCTCTGTATTAGTCTTCGTAGCATGTTTTAGGCTGGTTCTCTTTAAACTACCTTACTTGTCTATATTTATGCCAACTAGCAAACAGAAGATTCGAAACTTATCCCATCCACTTTTTTGGATAAAACGTTTTTTAAGGACCGCTATCGTTTTACCTTGTTATTATTACTACTTATTATTGTAATTCCTATGTGATTTAAGTAGACTGCTCGCGAGTAACCAATCACATAGGATTGTGAATAAATGAAGTGTGGTACATACTTATTCCTATTTTAGTCTGTTGTTTTCAATTATCAACTTCTGATTTGCTTCTGAAAAAACAAACAACCGATCTGTATTGAAATACTAGACCATCTCACATTTTATAAAAACGAATTCATTTTTATTTTCATCACAATACAAAGGCAATAGATTATTCATCTTAATTAAAAATAACTGACTTACCGCATTAGTTCTGTATCAACATGGATTTGATAAAACTGATCTAAATCAACTCTTAAATCTGTAACTCCCAAGTCCCTAAAATATTTCAATAATAAAAAATATGAATACTACAAACCAATTTACACTCGTTTAACAATTAATTAGGGTTTTACGAACGAATCATATGTGTAAATATAATTCACTATATTCAAAAATAAGTTTAAAAAAGAGCTCGTTCTTCATTTCTTCTTAAAAATGGAGGATAGAGAAAAAAACTTACTTGTCACTTGGGTATCATTTTCAGACTATCCTAACGGTAGTATAAAATTAATAGCTTTAATTCTATAATGCATATATCTTCAGTCACTTGAACATTGATTTTGTCTTTTGAAATCTATTTGGTAGATGGGTTTTTTTGTAAGCAAATAATCAATTCGCTGACCGTCATTTGTCTTAGTATTATCTTACCAAACTGATTGTTTCAGCATAAAATCGTTTAGATCGACTCATAGATTCAATTAGATAAAACATCTTATCTTTCAAAACTCTGGATTGTTACACGTTTTCCAAATATCAGAGATGATTTTGTACTTAATAAACGAACAATTATGTTTAATATGTACTCCCTTTAAAGTGCAACATAAAAATGATTTTTCGTCTACTTCGTCAAAGGTAATTCTTATCAGGAACGTGAAACAGCTAGAAAACCGGAGTGAACCAAATAGTTGTTTCCCGCATATATGTGACTTCATAGGTGTATATACACTATTGATGGTTGAAATACAGATCCTAACCAACTGATTACAATTTCGAATACCCCTCTACCTATCTTGTTTCTGATAATAAAGAGTACTATGAGTATGTAATTCCATTTAGTTAAAGCTTGACTCAATATTTGTGGGAATGAAAGATACGAGTAAGCATATACACATATGTACAATTACACACATATGTGTGTTACTTATATCAACATAAGTGGTATACAACGCTAGTCAGGAATAGAAAGTCTGGCAGCAGAAGGTCGAGAAGGAAAGAATGAGAACAAAAAGCGATTGGTATGAAAATGCAGGAACAATGAAGTCTCAGACAAATAAAAGATATTTTGCAAATGAATTATTTCCTGCATCGTTCTCAGATTTTACTAAGACATTCTGTAATTTTGTGTTCCATTACATTCGATTGTCCCCACTTGTGCTCTCGTTCACTACAATAGCTTTAAGCGAATAACTGGCAAGGTCAAAATGTGACCCGGATTCGGTTCGTTATACAGCAGTGTACCCTGGATTGTGTATTGAAGGAGTGTGTGGGAAGTCTATTAATATCTTGAAAGCACTGCATAAAAACACTTCAGACACAGGGGATAAAACCAACTCTCCCCACTGTTTCATTCAAGTAGTGAGGTTAGGCATGTTTGCCCAATCTCACCATTCCTCTTCAACTTGGCCATCGATGACGTGATGAATACACCTATGATGGATGTAAATAACGGTGGTGCGGATCTGTCGTCTAGAGAAAAACCTGTCGACCTTGAATATGCAGATGACATCGTCTTGCGGTACGACGATATCCAAGTCATGAAATACGTGCTTATTTAGTTGGCAATCAGAGTCCGTAAGTATGGCATGTTCTTTCTACCTTCTAAGTGCAGAGTACTTTTACACGACTAGCAAGACCCTGTACACGCACTCACCACTGCTAGTAAGCAGGTAGATTTATGCTAACCTGGGCAATCTCTGGCTCCTTCCTGATGTCAGGTTGCCTGTTGAAGGTCAGATCCATAATGTCTCGGTGAGAGCGGTTTTGCTCTATGCCTGTGAAACCTGGTCTCTTCGAGTTGAGGATGTTAGACGACTCTCTCTGCTTCATCATCGTTGTCTCCGAAGGATTGTTGACATCCAGTGGCAACACCATGTTGATAACGCAGAGGTTCGACAACACATGTTCGGGGCACAGCGGTGAAAATTCAATTGGTCACCATTTTGAAACACTGACTTCGATTACTTGGACATGTTCTACGAATGTCGTCCCAGGGAATTCCACGTCGTGCATTAGTTGCCGACGCTGGGACTGGTTGGAAAGAGCGGAGGTGGTCAGTACATGACATGGTGTCGTGGTATGAAAGAAAGCTGCACAAGACTGGTTTCTGTTGATCCTGTACGAATTCCTCCGTGGTTAAGGTGCAGCACAGTGGCTTCAGACGTTTTCATGAATGGCTTAGAATAGAAATCAGTGGAGACCCTGCGGTAACTTTCTCTTACTTTCTTCATAAAACAGACATTAAATCCTTGAAATAAAGAATTCTTTCTGGTTGTATTTACCCTAACTACACTGCTCCTACCATTATGATCATTATTTCACTCTCTGATTTCTATTCATTGTTTTTTATTATGCTCACTTTCCTTTCTCTATCTCTTCACAACCTCATTTTCATTGTGTGGTGCATATGTATTTGCTACCCCCTTGTTCAAATGTTTACCTGTCCAAATAAATAACCCATTTGCGTATGACATACTACATGCCACAAGTACACATAAATGTGTATTTCGTAAATGCGGTGTGAATGAAAACTGAGGTGGGGAAAACCAACTTATTGTTTAATGCAAAACTACTGAGTGCTTTCATAAAATACGGTAACCTTACATTGAATACATTATTTGCACATCTTCATTCTGTTATCCTTTACATGCTTTGTGACTCTTAATTCTGTTCTTATTACAATTGCTCTCTGTTTGCATTCCTGTTCTCTTCGGTTCAATTTTTTCAATCATCTGTGGTAGGCATTCCACTTCTGATTGGTGTTACATACTACTTATATCTAACAACATAAGCAACATACACCACACATGTAATGAATTTATCTTTAATTTATTTCATATCACCTCAAGTTGTAGATGAGAACCATACTACGACACAAAAGTTGATCTGTGTCCCCTGGTCTTCAGTAGTTCCTAAATTAGGAAGCTCCCCGAATTCCGTTAGTATAAACGGAATTGCATAGTATTCAGCATCTTCAAGGACACATGTGTGTAAAGTCCCAAAAAGTAGTACGAGAACATACACATAAATTAGTGGAACTTACTTTGAAGCTTCTGGATCGTAAAGTGACAAGAGACTGTCAATAACTGCCAACTGATCTCGTTCATTTTCACTTTCATCACCTGTATTATCAGTACGATAATCAGATATGGCGTTAGTCTTTTTTATGACAGTGGAGAGACTGGAATCTTCGTTTGTATTTTCATCAGCATCAGGGTCCCATAGACGATTCAAACTATTCGAAGAGTTAATCTGTTCCATTTCCATTGAATCGTCGAAACCCAGTAAATCAGGATTTTCCTCGCCTAATGTGTCGTTTTCATCAGTAACAGGATTTATTTCCAGAGGAGGAACACGACTGTCATTCTAATGAAAGTTGAAATTTTTCGTTTGAAAAGGCGTTGAAGAAATCACATAAATGTATGTATTGACAGTTCAATGATAAAAATTATAAAATTAGTTTTATAATGGATAAATACTAAGTGATTGTAATTGTAAATAAATAATAGACAAATTAGCTCATTCACCAGGTACTCGGGTAGAAGCCATACTTTAAGTTTGACGACTAGTGATACTACCCGGTTGCCCAAAGCGAATTAGGTGGGGCGGCGTTTGAACTAGAGACTTTTTGTTTCAAAATCAAACGGCTTAACCACTAAGCATTGGGAGGATTTTTTCCTCAAAACTTCAAATGTACGATAAGTTATGAATAACACTTATTTATTAGAGAGAAAAAAATGACACTTGAGTACTTAATCTTCAAATGAAATTAGTTGGTTACTTTTTACGGATTATGCATTGGTCCGTTGTTTTGGTGATAATTTTTCTTCATATAGTTGTAAACTCGCTTTGGACTCGCCAATAATTATTAAGTCTTTTACCAAACAAAAATGAATATTAGTTCCCCATAAATGTATTGCTCAATTTAGTATACACCCACTGCGATCTACAAAGTTTAGTACATTGTAGTAACCTTGTATTTTACTAAATTATCACATGAACTAGGAATTAAAATGATCAAAATATCCAACACAAATTATCTGGTCTTTTGAAGATTTGGTTACGTAAGAATCTCCATGGGACATTGGCTATGTAAAAATATGTAGTGTGTTGGGCTAGAGTTACTATTATTGGTGTCAAATAGACAAAAACGTCACACTACACAACTGGTAAAAGTAACAAACCTCAGTACGTAAATTCGACAACGGCCACGTGGTTTTAAAGATCCACGAGATACGGCACCCGACCGAATACCACGTCCATTTCCTCGAGAACGGCCTCTTGATGGTTTTAGTTCAGCTGCCATAGCACGTATTTTTTCCAGCTGCATACGACGACGTTCTGTTAAAACTTTTTTGGAATCATCATATTTATCTTCATCAGGCCTATATACTCTAAGAACAATAAGGGTGAAAAATCACCCACAAAGTAGATGGAGTGTAACAGGACATACAAAATATACGAATGTTAATTAAAGTTAATAAATAAACGGGCTACAATACCTAAGAAACAAATCTGAACAATGCACAAAGATACCTCAAAAACCAAGAAAAGTTTAAAATTTCCACGCTATTTTTCGATTACTATTATTTGTATATTTATTGTATGGTTTGTAGGTAACTTCGTTGTTGCATTTCCATGTCTATCTTATTGTAAGCTTTCAGTGGACCTATTGATTATCGTTATGTATTGTTATCCCATAATTATTGCTTATTAACTATGTAGTTTCCTCAGCGGTTTATGATTTATGCTTAGTATGAATTCTTATTTGGTGTGCTGTGTGGTCAGATATTTCAAATACACTATTGCATGTGTTTTGAGTCATAACTGAATTTAGTAAAAGAGAAAATTAGTCTGCTTTCTTTCTGCATCTTTTAGTAAGCTACTAGGTTAGGAGTTCGAGGATCAATAAGCGTCAAACCCTTAATTGTTGTTATTTGGTCAAAATGTAAATTTATTAAATAGGTTACTGGTCCGATTGGTAATATGGTACGTGATAGTGATTCAAATCTCTAACAGTGGTAAATCAATGTTTCACAAAATGTCACAGTTTAAGCAACTGAACATCTTCACCATCCCGCACACTACGAGTGAGGTTTAAAACCAAGTACACGAATCTGTACCTGGTAAATGAGCTAATACGGTTAAGCTGCTTGGAGGCCGAACTTTAAACCATTATAATATAGGTTGGGAATCTGCTCTAACTTGTTTGATTTGGATACAAAGTGTAGCAGTTACTTCAGGAAAAATGTAAAAGACCTGATTTCAAAAACTTGTTAATTGTTATACAACTGCACTAACAAATGATTAATATCAATAGATTTACATATCAACTTATGCTGATGTGAATTATAGTCTCTTATTGGTGAAACAAAAAGATCTATTTGTAAGCTCATATCAATACATGGAGTCATTGATATTTAACCATTGAAGTGTATTCGACTACGTAGTACCTAGTCACTACTGTTCAACTTAAATATAGAGGCATATGATTTTTATTTATTTATTTATTTATTTGGACACATGAATATTAGTACAAGAGAGCGCCAATATATATGCGCCACACAAAACAATGAGAATTCGAAGAGAAATAGAAAAAAAAAACTAAAGAGCGCAAAAGAAAAAGAGAACAATGACGAAGAGATTGGAGTAAGGTAGTGTGGTAGTAACGACGGAACGAAAAGGTACAATCAGAAGAAATCTTTCAGATAAAGGAGACACAACCACTTTTTATGAAGAAAGTAAAGAAGGTTACAGCAGGATCGCCACTGGCTTCTATTCTGAGCCATATCTGATAACGTCTCTAGCCACTGTGTAGCACCATCTCTCAGACCCCAACCAGGGAGTCGTGAAGGACCGACACAAGCCAGTCCTTTGCAGCTTTATTTCATACCACGACACCATGTCACACACTGACCACCTCTCCGCTTCTTCCAACCAGTCCCAGAGTCGGCAAATAATGCACGACGTGGAATTCTCTGGGACGACATTCGTAGAACATGTCCAAGCCACCGAAGTCGGTGTTTCAAGATGGTGACACCAATTGAATTATCATCTCTGCGCCCGAACACACGATGCCGAACCTCTGCATTACTGACATGGTGTTGCCACTGAATGCCAGCAATCCTTCGGAGACAACGATGATCGAACACAGAGTCGTCTAACATCGTCAACTCGGAGAGGCCAGGTTTCACGAGCATAGATCAAAACTGCTCTCACCGACGCGTTGTAGATCCGACCTTTTACAGCCAGACTAACATCACGAAGGCGCCAAAGGTGGCCCAGATTGGCATAAGCCGCTCTGGCTTTCACTATTCGTGCATTGATCTCATCACTCACACCCCCACCAGCACTTATGCAGCTACCCAGATACACGAACTTCTCAACTACTTCTATCTGCTCACCATCCAGGGTGAGTACAGGATTAGAATCCTGCCAGTCTTGTAGAAGTACTCTGCAATCCGAAGGTGCAAAGCACATACCATACCTACGGACACTGATTGCCAACTGACTAAGTGCGGGTTGCATGGTTTGGGCATTATCGCACAGTAAGACAATATCGTCCGCATACTCAAGGTCGAGAAGTCTTTCTCCAGGCAACAGATCCACACCGCCATTACTTACATTCATCAGAGCTGTTTCCAGAATGTCATCGATGGCAAAGTTGAAGAGGAATGGTGGGATCGGGTAACCCTGCCTAACCCCACTGCTTGAATGGAACAATGGAGAGAGGTGGTTGTATGCCCTCACTCTGTCCAAGCTATTGGTTTCCGTCATACTTCGTAGGTTGTTCAAAACCCGAGAAAGATTGACTCGCGAGGAGCAGGCTGGGTTTCGTTCTGGTCGAGGATGTATTGATCATATCTTCACCCTCCGCCAAATGTTAGAACACCGCCATACTTATCAAAGGCCAACAATCGTAGTGTTTCTTGACATCAGGGCTGCCTTCGATTCGTTGGACAGGACTGTTCTCTGGGATTGTCTATTGAAGAAGGGTGTGCCTGAGAAGTTTATTAACATCCTAAAAGCCCTATATAAAAACACCTCAGGCAGAGTGAGGGCATACAACCACCTCTCTCCATTGTTCCATTCGAGCAGTGGGGTTAGGCAGGGTTGCCCAATCTCACCATTCCTCTTCAACTTTGCCATCGATGACATTCTGGAAACAGCTCTGATGAATGTAAGTAATGGTGGTGTGGATCTGTTGCCTGGAGAAAGACTTCTCGACCTTGAGTATGCGGACGATATTGTCTTACTGTGCGATAATGCCCAAGGCATGCAATCCGCACTTAATCAGTTGGCAATCAGTGTCCGTAGGTATGGTATGTGCTTTGCACCTTCGAAGTGCAAAGTACTTCTACAAGACTGGCAGGATTCCAATCCTGTACTCACCCTGGATGGTGAGCAGATAGACGTAGTCGAGAAGTTCGTGTATCTGGGTAGCTGCATAAGTGCTGGTGGGGTGTGAGTGATGAGATCAATGCACGAATAGTGAAAGCCAGAGCGGCTTATGCCAATCTGGGCCACCTTTGGCGCCTTCGTGATGTTAGTCTGGCTGTAAAAGGTCGGATCTACAACGCGTCGGTGAGAGCAGTTTTGCTCTATGCTTGTGAAACCTGGCCTCTCCGAGTTGAGGACGTTAGACGACTCTCTGTGTTCGATCATCGCTGTCTCCGAAGGATTGCTGACATTCAGTGGCAACACCATGTCAGTAATGCAGAGGTTCGGCATCGTGTGTTCGGGCACAGAGATGATAATTCAATTGGTGTCACCATCTTGAAACACCGACTTCGGTGGCTTGGACATGTTCTACGAATGTCGTCCCAGAGAATTCCACGTCGTGCATTATTTGCCGACTCTGGGACTGGTTGGAAGAAGCGGAGAGGTGGTCAGTGCATGACATGGTGTCGTGGTATGAAAGAAAGCTGCAAAGGACTGGCTTGTGTTGGTCCTTCACGACTCCCTGGTTGGGGTCTGAGAGATGGTGCTACACAGTGGCTAGAGACGTTATCAGATATGGCTCAGAATAGAAGCCAGTGGCGATCCTGCTGTAACCTTCTTTTACTTTCTTCATAAAAAGTGGTTGTGTCTCCTTTACCTGAAAGATTTCTTCTGATTGTACCTTTTCGTTCCGTCGTTACTACCACACTACCTTACTCCAATCTCTTCGTCATTGTTCTCTTTTTCTTTTGCGCTCTTTAGTTTTTTTTTCTATTTCTCTTCGAATTCTCATTGTTTTGTGTGGCGCATATATATTGGCGCTCTGTTGTACCAATATTCATGTGTTCAAATAAATAAATAAATAAATGTTTGTATATAGGGCTTTTAGGATGTTAATAAACTTCTCAGGCACACCCTTCTTCAATAGACAATCACAAAGAACAGTCCTGTCCAACGAATCGAAGGCAGCCCTGATGTCAAGAAACACTACGATTGTTGGCCTTTGATAATTATGGCGGTGTTCTAACATTTGGCGGAGGGTGAAGATATGATCAATACATCCTCGACCAGAACGAAACCCAGCCTGCTCCTCGCGAGTCAATCTTTCTCGGGTTTTGAACAACCTGCGAAGTATGACGGAAGCCAATAGCTTGGACGCAATCGGAAGTAGACTTATCCCCCGATAGTTGTTACAGGAACGACGTGAACCCTTTTTAAAGATAGGGACAACTATCGACTCATTCCATGACGTTGGTACACTCTCTAGTTCCCAAACCTTTGTAAACAACGTCGTCAATTCCTTAGTCAAAATGTCACCACCATCTTTAAAAAGAGCCTGAGGTAAGTCATCTGGGTCAGGTGATTTGTAACGCTTCAAGAGTTGGAGTTCCTTGCGGACTTCCTCCTCGTTTGGTGGATCAGTCGTCACCGGCCATGGAGGGCAGGACAATCTGACCGATGTTGCCGGAGCATCAAGCCAGTTGAACTGCCCTTCGAAGAATTCTGCCCATAGTCCAAGACGTCGATGGATGTTAGTGATTGGCATCCCATCATCCTCGCAGATTGTTTCACTCACACCAGACTTCTTGCTGCCAGTGGCTCGGATGAGCTGGAAGAGCTTCCGGTAGTTACCAGATGCAGCTGCTGTTTCCAGCTCATTAGCACGCTTCGACCACCAGGCTTCTCGGTCCTTACGCAAGCTTTGCTCAATTTCCTTACGTAACATCCTTCGTTTATGTTCAAACTCATGGTCACACGGAGTAGACCGACGGGCTTCAATGAGTTGTAAGGAACCAGAAGAAACCCAGAGGCAATATGAACATATTATCTTATCAAATATGATAAATATCTTAAAAGCTAAAAACTAGATTAATGAGGTTTTCGATAACCGTGATTTAATAAAAACAACAAGCTGAAAAATAAATCCAATAAGGAAATATACAGAAGAGAAAGTCAACTAACTAAGGATAATCAAGTCCAACTACACAAACTTGTGTTAATTATGATGTCTAGAACGACAATGATAATTACAGCTTAGATAACACAACAATACAAAAAATAATCTTGCTGGTTCATGTTCTCTCGAAAAAAAAACAGAATCGAGGCACTTCAATCATAAGGACGTGGATAAAAGCAAAAAAACGGTAACTTAATTACCCAGAATTTGTAGAATCACTACTCAATCCATTACGTCCAGAATTATTAGCGGAAATACTTGGTTGTGTACCAAGTGCAGATCTAGACTGATTAGTAAAATTATCTTGGTCAGATCCAATATCAAACTGGTCATTTGTATGAAGGCCTATTTGTGTTGCTAAGTCTACGCGACTTTGACGTTGAGCTCGTTTCTTCGATACATACAATCGACGATCTCTTAGTGAATTTAACCACAGCTATTAATCAGAAAGGTGTAATAAATTAAAAAAATTTTGATCAATGGGGTGTTAATGTTGATTAATACTCTACATAGATCATATAGGAAAATGAGAATCCGGATTTGTTTTTGTAAATGACTATACATATGTAGAACGAAAATATTTAAGTAATAAAAGGTGTTTTCTACCTAGAGGACTTAAAGCACGTGACTACCGACCACCCACTCTGCCAACTTAAGGTTTGGTAACCGAATGGCATCAAACAAAAATGTATGGCATAAGCTAAATTACGTAACTCTATACAAGATTACTAATTTAAATTCACTTATTCGCAAGTATTAAAAAGGATTCTAACAATATAAAAAGATGTCTACGTTACGCTAAACCGAAGCTATGTTGACACTATAAGTAGGAATTAAACTGCGTCTTAATCTTATTGGCGATCGAGTAACCTAAGTAACTCGTAACTTTTGATCGCTCGTTTCAAAAAGTATCGAATTACACTTATCATTCTGTTTATTAGCTTGCACACAGATGTGCTATTTTAGTAACAGAAAAACAAATTTCGCTGACTATTTGGGTTATCTTTTGAAATCAATTGATTCACGGGGTTTGCTTCAATAATTCAGTTTTGTCAACAAATCATAGTTGGTCACTTTTAATCTCTGCACGTAATTTATTCATTCATTTAGCCGCACGAAGCATGCTCACTGTTACAAATCCTCAAAACTATATCCTCCGAAACAAAAGTGTAAATTGAGTAAGAATGAATATCTTCAAATCTAAAGAACATGATAATCTAACAGATGATTGAATTAATCAGTTTGAAAAATATGAAGTAAAACTATCGAAGGAAAGTAAAATTAGGATGCTTTACCAATATATTTAGTTATTACTTCCAGGAGTCTTCATCTTTTCTCTTAATAAGTGCTTTGAATGTTAACTTCAGCATAATGATTGTGTAATGTATGTTTTGTATTGTGAAAAAGGAGTAGTGGTTTCACACTAGTGTAATCTCATCATTTCTAGTCGTCAACGTGTAGTGGATCTATCATTTATAATTGACCTCAAAAGAAGAGATACCTACTAAAGACTGCGTTTTGACTTTTCTGAAATATTAACATTCTGAACATAGTCTCACATTCAATAATACAGAAAAGTTTACTTGTTGCCATGTCAAAACATCAACACAGATTTAATACACTGCAACTAACTTTAACTATTACGACTATGAATTAGTGCATATTAGACCGAGCTGATCGTCATAAACTGATAAGATGAATATTTTGCCTCATCAGTTAGTCGTTAACCTAGTGCAACTGTATATACTATTAAATGGACACAAATAGGATGTACTGAATGACTAATCTTATGCATTGCATGGCCTAAATCAGTTTCTTTTTGTCGTAAACTAAGATTAAATAAATTGGACTTCACAATGGACTAGACAAATGTAGATTATGATCTCATGATATATGATCAGACTGTAACACAGATATATTATATCTGATTTTTTAAAACAACCTTCTAGTTCATGTAACTCATCACTGTCGTTCCAAATCTACAAATATATATGAAACTCTTTTGAAATGAAATCATTAGACTAGTTAACTGATCAGTAGCAGATAAAAGATTGGATGACACTGTATTTAGTTGTCATGTTTTCTACGTAAGAAACAATAAATTATATATTATCTGCATAGAGGAAACTGAAGTTTCGACCAAAAATTAACCTTTAAAGACGTAAGAATAAAAACGTGCTTAATATTTTAGTTCTACTGAACAGAGCTACATAAAATGGGACACAAAATGGCAAGAAAGTAAGCAAAAGTTGACGTTTCAAAGAATACTTACACAAAAATCTTCACCATTTATGAATTCGATTTCTCGTGCCATTTCAATGCGCTAAAAAAAGTTACAACAAATTACAAACTAATGATTAGTGTGCATTTAAAGACGTATACTGCGCGGCAGTCCGTTTTGTTTCAATTTACGGCAGCGAAACATGGCCATTAAGAGTAGAAGACACTCGTAATCTACTAGTATTTGACCACAGATGCCTTAGAAATATTGCTGGCGTCTGTTGGGGTCACCGGGTAACTAATAGTGAGGTTAGACGCAGAATATTAGGGAATGATGGTAAATCAATTGATGAGGTTGTGAATATTCATTGACTGAGATGGTTGGGCCACATGTTACGTATGCCTGAACACCGGTTACCATGTCGTGCAATGCTAACGGGTGTTAGAGATGGTTGGAAGAGAATTAGGGGCGGCCAAACCAAAACGTGGCATCAGTGCTTGAAGTCTTTAACTTCTATTCTGAGCCATGTTGGTAGATGCAGACTACTTGGTTGGGGTCCGCGTAACCATCGTAACCGATGGTTGGGGACTCTTGGTGACATGGCTCAGAATCGATCACAATGGCGTAAGTGTATACATTCCCTGTCTTCCCTTAAACTATGAGATTAAAACCACTTCATATCTTTCCTTCTACTAACTAATTCTTTCTTCCTGTACTATATCCTCATATGTGCAGTCTTTCTTTTATATATTACCACCATTGACCTAACCACTCCTATGAATCCGGTGTTCATCTTGTTGTGTTAATGAGGTATGGCAACCTGGACCGATGCATATATGTGCCTGGTCCTACGTTGTAGCTGACTGACTGATTTATAAACATCAGAAGTCGATAAAACTATCCATTAGTCATAATCCAAATATAGTTGAGTTGAGATCGGTACCTATTGCGCATATATATGCGCATAATTCGTTAATCCTTCAATTTGGTAAGGCGAAATACAAAGATAAAAGTATGATTAGCTTTGGTTATCACCTAGTTATATTTCTCCAATCATATACTGAAATCAACTGATGACTAAGTACGGATTAGATATTAAATTCAGACATATGCAACAAATCGAGTGACAGTTGTTCTTCAGTGATTTTAAGTACTTTAAATTTATATTAAACAAGGGAGTCAGAAATCATTATTCATGGGCACACTTCCCGTACAAGATGAATGAAGTGATAACGGATTTGGATTATTCATTTGAAGGAAAATAACAGTAGGAATTATGAAAGGCATTACTTAAAATTAGTTAGTTTGTTATAACTTGTGACCTGAGTGCCCTGTTAATGTATAACGTAATGATACCGCTAATTAGGGAGCAGTGACGTATCGATCGGATCAATGACGCGTAAACTCGTATGAGCATCCTAGAGTCCTGATTGGTCCTGTTTCCTGCTTAGCCCAGCCAGTTAAGTCCAGAACACCAATCCGAGCCTCTGCGATATGAATCGTTTATTTCAAGCATACTGGGTTTATATACCAGACAGACAGACCACATCGTACCAATAAAATGGGAAACAACATTTATACAAGATTTGGCCAAATGTGGTTGTGAATGTGGGAGGTAGTAATCAATAGACAGGAAATAATTCAAGAATGGAAAAGCGTATAATAACAGTTCATAGGTTAAAATAAATCTTATGATAAGAGAGACAAGAATACGAATAGTTTAGTTAATTAACAATTATACGATAAAAATATACGCATAGTATTGGTCCACAAATGGATCCCAAAAATTACCACTCATTATTCTTATCGGAACATAACAAGTTCAACAAATAAACAACTTACATGACGAAGTTTAGCCTCAGTGAACTTCCAATCACTTGAACTTGTATTCAGAGACATTTGTGATTGTACAGCAGATGGTAATGATTGCGAGATTAATAATTCAGCAGCACGTTTGTATCGACCAGTTAATTCGTTAGTTACCGTGTTAAATGAGTTTGTGTAAACAGTATTTATCGTTTCCAGTAAATATGAATAAGACGATTTAAATTCCCCATCTTGTTGACTTGCATCAACAGAATCAAAATCCATCGATTCCTTTTCATCATTACCGTCATTATCATTTTGATTATCATTAGCACAGCTATTCGTTTCAATCTTTTTGATAGATGACGTTGACTCGATTTTACTAGGATTCAGCTGGGTTTTTAGCTTTTCCATTATTTTATGACATGCGTTAATTTCATGACTTAAATCCGTCGCATTTGACAAACCTAAGTTGGAAAGAATTTGCTGTAGGGAAGTAAAAGGATTGACAGGGAAAAATTGGAAATCAATGAAAATAAACTTGACATTACATTTTAAAAGAAATACTTATTTATGTATAACAACAACTGATAAATATAAACGTTTTGGAAATTATACTACTGACTAAATATGGAGTAAACATTATCACGAAAGGATAATATTATGTTATCTGAATAATAGTTTGTCAGTAAGAAATGAATTTCGAATAAGAATTTCATTGGGTTTGCACGAGGATTCTGTCTAAGTGCACCATATATATAAAAATCTCGAAATCGAAATACCGAATTTTTCTGATAATATGGTACTCTCATGGAAAATAAAGTATTCGCTGAAAACCTACAAACCATGTAACGTGAAGTAGTCTCAATTTCAATTTAGTCACTAAAAAGACACTCGCAGAGAAAATTTACACTTTAAATAAGTGAATCGTGTTTAATCATAACAACTATTTTGGATGAGAATGCAGAAAATATATATGTCAATCGCGAGATTTAACAATAAATGAAAATAAATGGGGCACTAAGTGTCGAAAATATTCAAACAAATTTTAACAAAATTCGCACAAATTTAAGGATTCAGAGGAAACACTCAAATTAATACGAACGACAGAATAAAACAAAAACATCGAGATCGGAGTACACACGGATAGGAATACTGATTGACATAAAGGGACAACATTTGTTACATCAATCTTCAGAAAACGATTAAATATATTCACATTATCTGTTATTAACAGATATTGTGCTGTACGATACAAAAAGGAAGAAAAATATGAATTAGGCTATAAATAATAAGTAGATTTAACATTTGTGCAGACTAAAAATTGTACGTTAATTCGCTGAAATCATCACGAACAAAAACGATTAATACATATAAACTAATGAACATATCTCATGTTTTTTTGTGGAAGTCAGTCAGCTACAACGTAGGACCAGGCACATATATGCATCGGTCCAGGTTGCCATACCTCATTAACACAACAAGATGAACACCGGATTCATAGGAGTGGTTAGGTCAATGGTGGTAATATATAAAAGAAAGATTGCAATGAGGATATAGTACAGGAAGAAAGAATTAGTTAGTAGAAGGAAAGATATGAAGTGATTTTAATCTCTTAGTTTAAGGGAAGACAGGGAATGTATACACCGACGCCATTGTGATCGATTCTGAGCCATGTCACCAAGAGTCTCCAACCATTGGTTACGATAGTCACGCGGACCCCAACCAAGTAGTCTGCATCTACCAACATGGCTCAGACTAGAAGTTAGTGACTTCAAGCACTGATGCCACGTTTTGGTTTGGCCGCCCCTAACTTTCTTCCAACCATCTCTAACACCCGTTAGCATTGCACGTCGTGGTAATCGGTGTTCAGGCATACGTAACATGTGGCCCAACCATCTCAGTCGATGAAGATTCACAACCTCATCAACTGATTTACCATCATTCCCTAATACCCTGCGTCTAACCTCACTATTACTTACCCGGTGATCCCAGCAGACGCCAGCAATATTTCTAAGGCATCTGTGGTCAAATACTAGTAGCTTACGAGTGTCTTCTACTCTTAATGGCCATGTTTCGCTGCCGTAAATTAAAACAGAACGGACTGCCGCGCAGTATACTCGTCCTTTTATTGATAGACGGATATCTCGCCTTCGCCATAGGTGACGTAAGTTGGCAAAAGCCAAACGAGCTTTTCGAATCCGTGCTGAGATTTCGTCCGATACCAACCCATTAGGGCTGATCAGACTTCCAAGATAAGTGAAGTTGTCAACGCGTTCGACTACTTCACTCCCTATCCTTAGTTCAGGTGTTGACGCAGACCAGTCCTGAAGCAACAACTTGCATTTAGAGGGAGAGAAGCGCATTCCAAACATTCTGGCATTGTTGCTTAGTGCTAACAAAAGACTCTGCATTTTGTCAGCGTCTTCACCAAACAGGACTATATCATCTGCGTATTCTAAGTCGATAAGTGGACCTCCTGGAAGGAGATCAATACCCGAGAATTCAGTCGACGAGAAAGTTATTTCCATCAGTAGGTCTATGATGAAGTTAAACAAAAATGGAGAAAGTGGACAGCCTTGACGGACACCACTTGAGGTTGCAAAAGTAGATGACAGTTCGCCATAAGCTCTGACTCGACTAGTAGTGTTCGAGTAAAGAGCCTTCACAAGGTTTATGTACTTCTGAGGTACGCCTTTCAATGACAGACACTGCCACAGAATCTCGCGGTCTACCGAGTCAAATGCTGCTTTTAAGTCAAGAAAGACCACCATCGTCGGACGCCGATAAGTATGCCTGTGTTCTAGAACCTGACGAATGGTGAATATGTGGTCGATGCAGCCACGACCAGGTCTGAAGCCAGCTTGGTTCTCTCGTGTTTGCAGTTCACGAGTCTTAGTTAGGCGTCTGATAATTATCGAGGCTAGTATTTTAGATATTATATTAGTTAAACTAATCCCTCTGTGGTTGTCACAGGATGATTTTGACCCTTTCTTATATATTGGGACGATAAGTGATTGCGACCAGTCAGATGGGATAACGTCTAACTCCCAGATCTTAGCTAAAATATTAGTCAACCTAATCGCTAAAATTGGACCACCATCCTTAAAGACCTCTGGAGCCAATCCATCTGGACCAGCTGCCCTTCCTCGTTTCAGATTAACTATAGCCTTTTGAACTTCAGCAAGAGTTGGGGGACCTACTTCAATGTTCCATTCACACTGTCTGGGAATGGAGGGTAGTTGTAGAGTAGCTGAAGGCCAGCTGAACTGTTCTCTAAAATGTTCCGCCCATCGTTCTAAACGTCTGGACTGGGAGCAGATGAGAGTATCGTCTTTTTCCGAAATAATCTCACTTACACTTGACTTATTAATTCCAGTTTCTTTTATTAGTCTGTAAAGCTGTCTTGTGTTCCCTATAGTCGCCGCCTTTTCCATCTCTTTTGCTTTCGTTGCCCACCACTGCTCACGGTCGTTTCTTAGACTTTTTCTTAACCTAGATCTGATTTGTTGTCGCTCTTCATCATGTTCGGAACCTGATGGGACGAGTTTGCGAGAATCCATCAGTGTGATAGACTTTGAAGAAATCCACTGGTTCTTTGTAACTCTGTGGTTTAAGTCACTAATAGATGTCACTGCTGTTTCCACAGCTGTTTGTATATCTTTCCAAGCAACATCTGGGTCAGCCTCGTTTTCAGAACTACCTAAGTGTGACCTCAGTTGTTCCTGGAACCTACTTTTGGTTTTCTCGTTACTCAACTCAGTTCTAATGGGTCTTTTTAATGTGGCTTTTTTGCGTCCAGTGAGGCGCAAGCAGATGCGTGCCCGTATTAGGGCATGGTCGGAGTCCAAGCAGGTACTCCAGAATGAGCGACAATCTTCTACCGACCCTCTCCAACGATGACTGATGGCAATATGGTCTATTTGAGTCCATCGTTGGTTTGGTGTAGGGGGTCGCCATGTTAGACGATGTCTCTCCTTATGCTTAAAATTTGTGTTTGCTAAAAATAAGCGATTGTCTGAGCACAGTTGCAGCAGACGATCACCATTATCTGTTCGCTGTGCCGGAATACTAAAATACCCACCTAAATGCCTTTCTGTTTGGTTTAAACTACCTATCTGGGCATTAAAGTCACCTGCTACGAGTACTATGTCTGAACTTTTGTGGAAGTATAAGCAAATAAAGGAATATTCCACTACACAATTAACAGACAGTAGAAAAAATAAGGTAAAATAAAGTACTGTAAATCTGAATTACACAAAACTGCCAACTGTATGTTCTGCAAAATTATGATGAGGCAAACTACTCAGGACTCATTTAACTGAAATCCGTTTACTCATTTGTCAGGAAGAGTGCATTTATGCTTATAGTTTGGAAGATTTATTAATTGTAGGTAACGACTAAATGAAAAAGCTGAGTGGTTTACAGGATTGTATTAGATGTGAAGATAACTTCTATGGCAAATTGACTCGCTTGCAGAACAATGGAAAACTAAGAACTACTGAAAGGTTGTTTCATATTACTCCAAAGCCTCATACTTAATGAAGAAATATCGACCAAGCACGATGCCGCTAAGCCACTAAGTAGGGATCTAATGACTTGCATTTCTTACACCTAATTTGGAAATTTCTTACATTTTACACTACTCAAACGGCCATATATATCATACCACTTTCATGAATGATTTTTAAAAGTAAAGATTCTTAATCTGCTAAAAATCGATACACAATTACACTTCTCTCTAACCACAAATTGTACTGTTTTCTTAAGAGGAAAATGAATAGCTTATGAAAATCTCTAAAAGATAAGCTTCAATAAAACGACTGCATATTTTTTTTCTTATAAAAAAGACAACTCAGCCATTGTTACTAATTCATACAGCTATTTACGCCGTCTCCATAAGTTACTTAAAGCAATCTGCCCATCTCGCCATAAAATCGCCTTCAGTCTCATATAGTACCTAGGAACTTCTCTATATCACTTTCTTAACTGGTCACCAGCACCGTAAACGTCAGAAATTTGGAACCGGTAGACAACATAGGTTCATAAACTTTAGTCGAAACGGACTTATCACTGAGAATAGCAGGTATGCTTTTATGGTCTTAATATTTAATACGTTTGTGTGCCATAAGGAGGTATCGCAACTCCGACTACAGTACAGTGAATAGAACCACCTCTGTACTCTTCTCCTCCCTCTAACTAGGAGAATAAGGCCAGTGTAGTAATGAACACTTTTTAATGACACTGGTATACCAATCATTGAAAATCTATGCATGTTAATCGATTATACATCAGTTAGGTTGGTTAGGATTTTTGAACTGGGTATTTATCACTAAATACAAATCAAGGTAAAGATGAATTGAAAGTTCATAACCACAGTTCACACTGAATAACTTAATTTGACGGGAGCTCATCTTAATCGATATTGATTTCATTTCCCTTAGTTGTATTTGGGGATCGCACATCCTCAACAATATTGCAAGTGCTATAAATATCCACTGTAGATTGATTTATAAGTAATGTTGTAAGAAAGGCTCTCATACTCCATTCATTATAGACAGAAAAAATATATAATCAGTTCTTAGTTCTACCATTTATAAATATTAGATCAAACATGCTTTAAGTAAGTACTTTTCAAAAATAAATAGTCTTAATACGATTGGTATTATATTGGTTGATATAAACTGAAAATCCTTGATTTTGCAATTAACATAATGGAGGAGCTGTTGTTAAGGCTGTTGAGGAATATACCAATAATTATCGCGTTAAGTCTAATGGTGTTCTTGGACGTTAAATGAACATTTCCATTGGTCGATATTCATTTTACCTGTCAAATATTGCACAAATGTTGTTTTCTATTTTATGGTACGATGTGGTCTGGTTGGTTGGTATATAAATAAAGTATGTCTGAAATATAGTGATTCATATCTTAGAGGCTGTGACTTACGTTCTGGACTCAACTGGCTGGGATAGACAGCGGAGCAGGGCCAATCGAAACTTTAGGTCGTCCTTACGTGTTTTGCGTGTCACTGATCCGATCGATAAATACGCTGCGCATCTAACCTGCAGTCCACCCGTTACAACAAAGGCAACTCCTGGATCGACAATAAATCTAATGCCAACGATGATCCAAGTTTAAAAACTAATCAAGCAAAACATTTTTTACCTGTTTGCTAATAATTGAACAAACCAAACGAGACCCATCAACTCAAAGAAGAAGCAGAAAATTACACTTTATGGACAAGCTGTCCTGCACACTGTGAGATTTGTATGATGGTAAATATTAGTCAATTGCTTATGTCTATGATATGAATGCAATTATTTCTTCTGATGAGTTTGTACAGAAATTGTTGAGACGTCAGTTCAAAAAGACCAATGTATTGAACACATGAATAATTGACACAAAAATTGAGAAATAACAGAAACAATGAATGATATATGGAAAGGTCAATGCGTGGTAATAATCTGTTTTGTGAGTAAATTAAAAATGAATGGAATTGCAGGAAATAAAAAATAACAAACTAACAGATACCTTTACAATAGGAGAATCGCCTTGTTTCATTAAATTTTCCACTTGAGTAAGATTATCTAAGCGCTGTTGAGTTGATTCAAACTTTAAATGTAAAAAGAATTATATATTACAAAGTTAGAATGTTGTTGAGTGAAACAATACTGAATTTATGAAAAAACGTAAAGATGTAAATTATCTGTCCTGAGAATTTGATTTAGGTTGAAAAGATAATTGCAGAGGTGAGGATTTTAACATTTGAATAGTGGTGAGGAGTAGAAGCAAGAACGTTTATACCTTCCTATTTGGGACTCGTTAGCTGAGTATATCTGCATTCAGTGTTGAAATGCACACTGAGACTTGAACTCAGTACCTTTCGCTTAAAACACCCAACACGTGACCCACCGATCTAATAGCTTAAACAACTACTAGCTTGTGCAAAAGGTACGGATTTTGTTTGTAAGGGTTTCAGATTTAAACATAAACAATGGGAAAATGCAAATCCTTAAAAACTAAACCCTGACCTTTTGCACACCCCCTAATGCCGTGGCACGGCTGAGAGTGAGGGGAGTCATCTCTCCCTCTCGAAATGTACTCACACAGCCACGTGCATACAGCAAATGTCAGGGAAGTCCTACTCATTGCCGTCTCGAGGCGGGGGTGTTGTTTACAAAATCAAGAAAACGAAAAGCGAATGTCCGGCGCTTTAACCGGGTTGGTGGATACAAAGGATCCACCTAGAGAAGTTATAAAACCTTGATTCCAAACCACTGGTGTACATGGGTTCCGGGATCATAAGGAAACAAATGGCGTTTGAACCTATTGTTGTTCAAGGGCTACCATGGGACTGCATCTCCTTACGTTGCTCCACCGCCTGGTGGATTAGACCTTTAGGTCAAACGCTCGAGGTGTGCCCCCCGCCTAAGAAAGCCACCTACTTTGGTTTGGGCACCCGGGCAGTATTCCAGCCCTCGCACATATCGAATGATTTATGTGACACATATCTATTCGGGGTCTCCTTGTATCAATGTTTGTGTTTAACTAAATGTCTTTCGCACAAGCTGGTAGCCATATGGACTCAGTAGCTCAGTGTACGTGTTGGACGTTTGAAATGAAAAGTACTGGGTTCGAGTCCCTGTATGAGCACCAACATTGGGATGCAGGCACAACCAACTGCCGAGTCCTTAATCGGAAGAAACACGCGTCATAGTTTCCACCGAAGCTACTAACCAACTTTACTGAAAGTACTTGTGACTAAATGGTTATATCAAAGCGATTCGCTCAAAATGGCCATATCCCAATATAAATTGATCATTCGCAATACTTAACATCGACAACAAAGAAATACAAACCTTTACATATGCTGGGATGATGAGGAAAACAAAAATATCTGAGACCAAGTATAGGAACTTCTTATGTATCTGGTCTGCACACGTTTAGAGAGTAATAATTAAAGTTGTCTTATAGCTTTTTTATTTAGTTTTCTTTTGACACATTATTTATGTCATATATTTTCATATTCATAAACTGAAAATCAATTAGAAAGTTTCATAATGGCAATATATTACTTCCATAAATACTGAAATTTATAAACTGTGATACTTTGAAGACTTGTGTTTTACTCGGACAATTACATGAGTTGTGAATTAGAGTAATAAAGAAATACTTTAAATAACTAATAATTTTTTTGTTGAGCCAACTAGATAATTAAAGTGAGAATTTCCACGGTATATACAACTGGTAGAAATACAATGGTGGAAGAAGAGGGATTTGTAGTTAACAGTTTACGATATATTTACGAGTTACGAAGTCATGTGAACTGTATGTTTGAAAACCATGTGCTAAAAAGGCATTACGGTAGTTGAAATGTCAGTTTTACTAAATAAAATACCCATGTCTTTCACTCTTATTGTACAGGGAACTTTCATTTTACCTTGTATCCTAAACAAAAATTACCACAAAGAATAAATAAAAATAAATAACGAAACTCATTCAGTGGTGAACGTCCTACACAAAATGTCTTTTTCTTAAGCGAAGTTACGAAATATGTAATCATCATGGTTTAAAAATTTAACTACTTGTAGTCTTTAATGGTAATTGCTTTTTAATATATAACTGTAAAGTTTTTTAGAAACCACATGAAAAGTTTCGAGAGAAGAAATTAATCAAACAAGTATTCTAAAATCTTAATGTTACTAAGGAAATGAAGTTGTCTAGCTCACTTGTTTTTGTTGACGTTTTCGATGCACATTCAACAAGCGTTCAGTTTGAGCACGTTTGCGATCAGCCAGTGCTTTCAAGTCTTCGGTTGATGGCTAATGTAAGACATTATAACAATTTAAAATACAATTATGATAACGAATTATATTCATCTTTCTTACACATCAATAATTTGCAAGACAAAAATGTGGTGACGTGTTTGGTCAGGTAATTTAAGTAACAAGAGTTGTATGTCTGTTATTTACACTCCAAACGGCAAAACACCTAATGATAGACACAAAATTGAGACTTTATTACCAGATATGTCTTATAGTTTCATCAGGATTGTAAACTAGTATTCATGAGGTTCCGAAATCATGATGTGATCCAGGCTTTTTACCAATGTCAACTGCATTTTCTATATTGAAAAGCAAACGTCTTACAACATAAGAAACGTGAAAGCTAACGCACATAACAGAAGATCGTATCAAAGTCAAGTGGTGAAAAGGTGTTTAAAATTTGGGTTCATACAATGCCGTCATGAAGTATGCATAAGCAACACCTTGACGAAGATTAAGTCCCCTTGTTTACCACATACAGTACCAACTATTAACAAAATAAACGTTTTTGATTTCCTTGATGAGAAATATACTTAGTTTTCCGGAGTATGTCAAACGGATAAACACCAAGTTTAAGCATTAAGTGATTTCCATTACGTCAAAGGCGGCCTACTTGAGCTTCTGGGCTACCTGTTTCTGCCATCTAGATATTTCAACAAGTTATCTATTTTTGCTTGTTTTAATATATCATTATGCCTATTAATCGCATGACCTATTCTGCTGCGTTTCTGAAAAGTGTACAACCTTTCGTTGTCAAAGTTACAAAAAACTCAATAAGAGACAATGTGGTTGCTGGCAATATACAGCGAAAAGAATGCACACTATTCAGATGTTCATTTACTGAACTGCTAACATCTAACTGGCGATCACTCAATATTTATCGCAAGGATCGACCAAGAAGAAAGAAACGGAAACTTGTTGAAATACTTTACGCTGAGAATTCTATATTGTACCAAAAATATAATATTGAGTAAAGCTGATGAAAATAATAATAATAATTTATTATTTTGAAAATACAAACCACCGCATATAGGATCCGAACAACCTAATGCAATTGGAGTCTGCTTGTGTTGGTCAAACTGTGTTGCCGACCTATCTGAAACCATTAGTGGAGATTCGAGTCCTATCAAAACTAAAGATGAACGGAAATTTACCCCATTCTAGCTTTGTTTGTACGTTTCAACCTAATTCGTGAAATTTCAAAAATGATACAAAGTGATTGCACCACATCAATTACAGCAATACAGTTCAAAGTAAAACACAAGTTTGTCAAATTACGTAGTTTTCGGAGGCAGCTACAAAAACACTTTCGGAAATCGGAATTAAAGGGAAAAATGCACGTTTACTGAGGGAAAAACTACAAAATACTAGTTTCAACTCTCTATATGGTTTGGATCACTTCATTTCAACTAGTACACCTGGTGATCAAGTTATAAACACGAAGTTTTTTTCGAATATAGATATACCTAAACCAAATTATGTGGGTCATCAAAGTTTGACAATAATTAATAGTAAACATATAAGATCTACACCTTAGTAAATGGAAGTTGCACTTTGACAGTATGACTTCGACGAAATTCATCAGACTTCCATTCAACCATTTCTTGTCTATAATTGGAAGCTAGCCAACAGTACGAATGAGCCAATCGCTATATACGAGACAAATACATGACAAGGATAATGGTTAAGAAATATTGAATAATTGAATAGCTATTTTAAAAAAGCATACCAGTTATGCGAAGACCGGTGAAAATCTACCTGAAGCCTAATGTGCTGAAGTCATATTAAAAAATAGATAATAAAATATACCCCTAAGCCATTTTTAATCTAATTATTGTTTTATTCTCTGACCGACGTCCGAATAGGAATAAGTTTACCTGAAACCTATCGCAGTAACAGCAAAATCCCAAAAACACATAGATCTGGTGGTTAAAAAAATACGCCTAAAGAGGTTTTCCTAATCAAAATTGCTTGTTGAACCCATCTTCGGACTCCCAGTCACACAAAGGGAAAATGGAGACCGTTTACCTGCGATTCTGAACTGGGAAATATTTGTCTGTATTTAGGTTTACTTTTGACACTTCATTTCGATAATAAACAAGTAATACCATAAGGAACTTGGTAATATGTGAAAAAACTACTGTTACACATTGACATGTTTGACAACTATCACATAGCCTTCAACCCAGAGATCATAGTGGTGAATTTTCTTAGTATAGAATAATTCTTTCGTAGTTTTACTATCGAACGGTCTTAACGAACATTTGTCATTACAGCTTGGGTAAGCCTACTGTAATACAGCTAAACCAACACGATAAAGCGCCAACCTAGATCATAAGGGGATCAAATTGGGATAAATTGAGATCTAGCTGTGTAAATTGGGTCCCTCTTTATACGACTTTATGTACTAAGAAACGAGTCACAAAAGCCAGAACAATAAAAAATGACCAATACTTACTTCAGACAGCTTAAAATACCACATACCTCAGCTAGTCCCGTAGTAATACGTTCTGAGTGAGAAGGATATTTTAGCTGGAGCAAACGCTGGATCATCCAGCTTGCATGAGCACCTCCTGTGTGGAGACGACGAGCGGCTCGTATCAAAGGTTTAAAAACTAATGGTGTATCTGTATTACGGGATGAGATAATAGGGACGATATGAGTTCTCTGATACCCAAAAGATATAAGGAGACAGTTAGCATTTGGATCTAAATAAATAAAGAAAAGTATATTTATGAATCTCAAGTAATTAACTACTGATGAGAAACATACATCTAACTAGTGAACACTAGGAAATAACCCCCCAATCCACCAAACAAGTCATCTTGCTAAATATAGGTAAGACTTACAAACGTCTGTCACCTAGCATATACGAATTGCATCAAAACTAATCGGCTGATAACCCGGAAAACTCAGTGTGAGTGCAAAGACCTTGTTCAACACTAGACCGCTACGAATGAAAGCCCAAGTGAAATGATCAAGTTTCTACCAAAGGACAAGTATATAGTTCGATTTTGAGGTTCTGAAATAGACACCAATTGGAAGTACAAAAAGATTACAGGCAATTTATTAAAGATATTTGCAAAGAATCGTTTGAGTAACGGACTCATCCAGCTAATAAAACAGAACTAAATTTGTGGAACAGCACGAACATTATTGGCAAAACCACTTGGTAAAAATTTCGGGTTACAAACTGCTCCAGCGAGTATTAACTGCTAGAGAAAATGCGAAAACTTTACAATTGATAGAGTTGATCGTGGGATTAGGTCAAAGGAAACTTGTTCGAACTATGTACGGAAGTACAGAATTTTCGGTCTTGATCCAATATCTAAATCTCGGAAAGATTCTTATAACGAATTGTAGAAAAGAAACGATGGAAAATAGTAATGTAACGAACAAAAAAGATATTGAATTCGCCCAACTAAGGACCACCAAATGGTTAATGCGATTTCAAAATGAAGGTATAAACTCTCAGCTCTTTTAAACCACTAAATATTAAATGTAAAACAGGAGGAACAGATAAAGTTGCATTCAGTTTACCGGTATTTTCAAAACGTTGAAAGTTATAGTAGGAGGCAAGACAGTCAACGTAGAACATCAGCTTTGGGACGTTGTAGGTTTCAAACAGTAGCTCAGTTAGCTCTGCGTAAATTAAGAAATAAACAATAACTTGCGAGATCTACATACTCCGGGATTGCATAATACTTCATTAATAACAACAGGATTAGTAAGCGGCTCTTGGACACTGAGCTTGTCGAAGACATGACCCATTACCTGTTCTTGTACATCTAAATTAACGACAAGATTGTCCATGAACGGAGACTTCAGGCTATGACGTACAGACTCCAGGTCTTGAATGTCATTCCCAACAAGAACACCCTAAGTCTTTGTTAACAAAATAGAAAGTTACTTTTGACATTCGTGGACGGTATACTACGTTTGGGAAAGTTATATGAGGTTCTTCAAGATGTGAATAACCGGCACGACATTCATAATTTCCTACGTAGGAAACATACGTTTTATAATAAAATATGGCTATGATACTAACCATTGTCAATAATGATAGGAGTAGTTGTGTAAGTCCCCGAAAATTTGATTTTCTTGGCTGGGACACGATTCAAATGTTCATAGAAAAGGAACGCCATCAAAGTATTTTGGCGTGAGTTAAGCTACCCAAACTGAAGGTCATATTTTAAAGATTGGTTGCGGTACAAATGGTTCAAATGGTTCAAATGGTTGTGGACGGAATAGAAGAATCTTTCGCTTAACAGGCTTCCGTGTCTAGTAGCAGGGGATCACCAAATCCTCCAGGCAGGAACCTAGGTATGTTAACAATAAAAGAGGAAAAGAAATTAGTAAATCATAGTGTGATACTATCCTTAGTCCTTAAGAATAGATCAAGTTGCCTCTTAAAGGACTCCTGAGAAGTCGCTTGGACTAGCTCGGCTGGCAGCGAATTCCAGATTTTGACAACTCTTAAGGATTAGAAGTTGTTTCTACATTCCGTCTTGCTATGGTGTGTTTCCAGTTTCTGGGTGTTATCCCTTAGGTTATTGTTCGAACTAAGCTCAAGTAGGTGTTTAAGAGGATGTCCAGAAGTGTTAAGAATACTATAAGCCATTATTAAATCACCTCTAAGACGCTTATACTCTAATGGGTAAAGGTATAGCGAATGGAGGCGTTCTTCGTAAGGTTTAGATTTGAGTCCTCGAACTGATTTCGTGGCTCGCCGTTGGATACGCTCCAAAGTGACCTTGTCCTTCTGGAGTGAGGGAGGGAGTACTATGTATGAACTAGATTCAATTCGCAAAATTCCTAAGTTTGTTAACAACAATCAGAGGATTCGTAGTCCAGTAATAATTGGGTAGACGTTTGTTTCATTCGATAATGTTCTGTCTTCATATCAACTCTCATAATTCAGATTATTCGAACAGAGCTTTAATTCACTGTTAAGGTACAACTAAGAGGGTATCATTTAAGGTTATGAAACGTAAAAACACTAAGAAAACACGTTCAAAACCCGCCTTGTTTATATTTTGTGGGCTGCAATTTCACTCCTGCTGGAGATAGCAATCACGTTTGATAGCTCATCCAGAAGGTATTTACTTCAGTTCCGATGGTATTGAGAGAGAATACTTTTGACGTCTTTTCTTTGATAAATCTTTTTTACTCTCCAACGCTTTGGGGTTTACATTCTGTCAAGTATCAAAACAAAAGCTGTCTCCTTATTATCAACAAGTCTACAATAAACCAGAAGTAGACCATAGTTTACAACTTCTCACTACAAAATATTTAGTCCTTCATATTCTCTTATATATCACAGGATAGAATAACGCAATTTATCAATCATCATGCCCTAAGTAATGGTCAATGACCTCCTCATCTCTTACAGGTATACACAGACAATCAAAAAACAACATACAGAGAGTTAATGTGAAACACTATGTTGAAAACATGGATTTTTACCTCAGATGTTAGTGTCTTCTAAGACTTGATCATTCCTAAGCAGCAGCAAAGACGACTACACTAAACTCTCAACACACAGGAATTTTTCCTTTAGATCTGAGTCCAAATGAGTTTCTCCAAGAGTTACAAAAAATGATTAGACATGCTTATGATGTCCTATTATCGAATTCGTTTCATTAACAAGTTAAAAGAAATAACGATCGCAACTTTTAGTTTTATAACAAGCACTTATGTCTCACAAAATGAAAAAGTTATCCAATACAAAACTCCTTGAGTGTCACATCGTTCAAATAACAGTTTAGAGTCATTTACTTCGTTAATTCACGCAGATATTATGCTTCTTGTTTTCCCCTGCTGGATGATCTCACTATATTTTGCTAATCTCAATCAGCCCTATTGTTCCCTCACACGGCCTCAAAAACAAATATGTACACACTATCGAATGGACTTTTCAATTTCTTAATGAGAATATTTCGTCAGTCTAGCGGATAAAGAGATTTTTAGACTAATACTTTCTTTGAATACTAAAATCAGAACGGTTAAGAGTATGCTTTTAGGGTTTTTTACATAACACGGCTGCTAAGTGGAGTTTTGGCTCATTTTATTTAAATACTCAAACATTCTGTCACTCATTAAAGGAAAATATGAAACGTAATACTCATATGAATTGAGAAAGTACGTAAGTTCTTGTTAGAATATTTTTGTTCTAACATCAGGTTATTGGTTGGGAACAATAAGGATCTGATTCAGACATAAAATCAATGATTGACAAAGCAACAACGGAGTGCCTACAGTTGAATAACATATGGAACTCGAAACAAATACCAACCAATGTCAAAGTCAGAATCTTTAATACTAACATCAAAACAGCTCCACTATACAGAACTGAAATGTGTAGAACTACCACTAACAAAATTAAAAACGTACAAGTATTTATGAACAACTGTCTACACAAGATACTCAATATCTGTTGATCAGATATCATAATCAACAACCCAATATTGGAGAAAACAAACCAACTTCCAGCTGGAGAGGAAATAAGGAAAAAATGTTGAAAGTGGATAGGACATGCATTATGTATATCATCAGACTGTATCACTAGGCAAGCCCCAACTTAGAATCCTGAAGGGAAACGGAAAAGAGGAAGGCCAAAGAACATAATACACCGAGGATTGAAAGCGGACATAAATAAAGTGAATAGCAACTGGAAAGAACTGAAAGGGATTGCGCAGGATAGAGTTTGATGGGGAATTCTGCTGAATGGCGTGTGCTCCTCCACGAGCGGTACCAGGCGTAGGTCGGCAAGTAAGTAGGTCATTAGTTATCTCTTACTTTTGGATGTTGCATTAGCTCTCTCCTAGAAGCGACAATGCTGTGTGTTTATAATAATGCATTTACCGTCAATTCATTTCAGTCCCTCCAATTAATATTTGTTTGTCTGCATTTCGACTGACCAAACTGAAAAGTGAGATTTTAAGTTATACTCAAGTAGTATAGGCCGGTTCTAGTCTCTGCTTGCTATCTTAACATCGATAGAACAGCTCGTTACCAACAATAGGTGGAATAAAAGCCAGAATGTTCGACCACATCATTTTGTTGGTAGTGGTTGAAAAGTGTTAACACAGCGATCAATAAAATAATAATTTATTCTCAAATGACCGTCTGTTACATGAGGCATGCCAGTCTACAGGCGAGACTCTACTGTTACAGAATATACTGTACTCACTGCAGTGGGTTACTAAGTTAGGTTGATATTTTATTGGGTACATTGGTCATAGAATTATGGGGAATAACACTTCTCACATATGGATGTAAATGATGTTAGTAAGGCTCGTATTGTCAATATGAGCGTTGGCGCGCTTTATAGAGGTTGAGTTGCAACGTGCAACTAATGGTCTGGAGTAAGTCCACTTAAAGTTGAGAGCTTCTAAAAACCCCAACTTTATATCCCTTCGTAACATCTGAGGAATCAATGATGGTTCAGGACGAACTTACCCACTCCATATATGTTTTCTGCGGCATGTTTCGAGGCAGGCTGAAAAAGGGGTAAGAAAAGGGGAGAACTAGAGACAGAGCACACAATGTCCGTGGCTATTGAAGTTGAGTTACTTGTGATGGAGTAGTTACGGTTTATCTACTTAGTCTAATTCTCTTTTATCCATAGGTCGAAAGTCATTACTAAATGTCCAAGGCTAATTTAACTTCTTGAAACATTCCCATATGCAGCAAATATACAATACTTATCTCCGTATTTAGCAATCGCCCTTTTCTAAATGCAACTTCGTCCCCTTTAAATTGTACCTAACAACATGTTCTATGTGGGTGCTAACTTTATTAGTAATATTGTCGACCTAGGAGTCGACAATGTGATTATATTTATCATACTTTTGTGGAATAAGGATCTGCTTGTTTGACTTTTTTCACCTCATATTGTCTGAATACGACTGTATCAGTAACGGTGTCGAGTGATACTGTAGTGGCATCGGACAATAACCACACAATCTACAAAGCTGAACACGAGACTACTCAGAAAATATATATTCAATAGTTAACGCGGAGAAATTCCTAACGATGGAAAAGGCGGGAAGAATGAACTGAATGAACTGAAGTTGGTCGAATGGCATGGCCCTTGTTGAATGTTATCTTATATCTTTTATTCATATTAAATATATTGTTCTATCTGTAGCCTGAGCTTGTTCGCCATCATGTATGGGTAATTGTTACGATGCAATGAGTTGGTGCAGACGATGATGTAACTTCCACGTAAGATCTTATAGATCAGGCAGTTATATCATGACAAATCTACAATTATAGGATTAGGCCTATTATTAGAGCAGTACTAATATCATAGCAGACCATAATTCTAAAATACTATCGACGTCAATCACGAGTGTGTAGAAATAGATTATTGATCGATCGTTTAAGACTCTTACTACTCCAACGTTTGAATATAGCATATATTATTCTGTTACAATAAGTGATACTAGCGACTTCCTCATTATTTGGTAATCAACTGTTACAGGCATTTTAACCATTTATTGTATAACAACAGTGAACACCTGGAGTCATTTTGATAATTAGGAGTATACAACTCAGTGTGATAACTAGGAAATTCAGAAATAGTGCAATTTACAGTAAGTAGAATTAGATGAGCACAAATGGACGTATGTATGTGGAATTCGTATTCGGCAGGTCATCAAGTATAAAAGAATCGTTAGTCCGTAGAAATATCACATCTGCCACACTTTAAGTTGGAATCCGAATTGTCGTTTAATAAAGGTCTCAAAATTTATTGGTTGTACATGAGAGTGAGGGGCTTTAGAGTCGGACGTAATTCTCTACATTTCGATTCCGTGGTTGACAAGTTAACATACATTTCATTAGGAACGTCTTCAGTGGCCAGTGAAGAAAGCTTTCCTTGAAGCATTCTTAAATTTCCTAAACCAAAGATAGATGGCCCACAATCAGTAATGAGAAATTCACAGTTTAGGATAGAAGACTTATCGTCTCTAATTAACACATTACAACACTCAGGAAGATGAAGTTTATGACTATAATACTCGAAATAAAGACTTTGGTAGGCTTGATTATGGCACGAGGTTTAATGACTTAAACTTTAAAAAATGATGGGCTCGACATTACTATTGTCAACCACAAAATCATGAAGAGCTCCATTGGATAGATCTGATCGTTTTTGAATATGAAGAAAATTGAGAGAAGTTGCAAATAAAGATA